GCACTTCTCTTACTTGCCCCTTTTCACTAAGAGGTGCACCAAAACACAAAAACAAATTTATAATAATAAAATAAAATACAAATTACGACCTTATATTGTCTTCTACCTTTCTTCGGATAAAATAAAATACAAATTACGACCTTATATTGTCTTCTACCTTTCTTCGGTGATTCTTGAAAAAAAAAATTTCCAAATCGGAATTTCCACGTAAGGAGCCTACGCTGGCGGTGGTGGACTTATAACGAGAGTCGTAGCTTAGTCAAAGTCAAAGTCAAAGATTATTTATTCCATAGGTAAAATAAATTTACACTTGAAAACGTCACATTTATAAGCTTAAGCTACTGCTCGTTCACTACGCTGACCTCCCTGAGAAGAACGAGCAAGAAACTCTAGGGATTGCTCTTTTCAAATAAACTTAAATGCTATGGAATACACTTTGAATCAAACTGTGGATTCTGGAGCCATGTCGTCTTTCCATACATCTTTATCTAACACGTAGTCTTCAATTTTGTAATATGATTTTTCGATCAAAATATTTTTAATGTAGTTTTTAAACTTAGGAAATGATAAACTTAATATATGCTCCGGAATCTTATTGTAAAAACGTATACAGTTCCCCATAAAAGAGTTGTTTACCTTGCTTAAACGAAATCGTGGTACCAGTTTGGACTTAGCTCTAAGGTTAATATTATGGATATCTTCGTTCTTATTGAAATTATGTATATTTTTACGGGCATATAAAATATTTGTGTAAATGTACTGTGATGCCACAGTCATGATACCAGTCTCCTTAAACTTTTCTCTGAGAGATACCCGAGAGCCTAGACGGTACACAGAACGAATCGCTCGATTTGCAATACAAATATGGTTTGAATATCTGCCGCTTTACCCCACATGAGAATCCCGTAGGACATTATACTATGGAAGTAACTAAAGTAAACTAGTCTAGCAGTACTAACATCGGTAAGCTCACGTATTCTGCGGACTGCGTATGCAGCGGAGCTTAATCTGCTGGCCAGAGACGATATATGTGGAAACCACTGAAGTTTACTATCTAAGGTCACTCCCAAGAAGACTGCTTTATTAACAAGGTCTAACTTTTCTCCGTTTATTTCTATGCTTGGACTAGTCGATTTTACGTTAGGTAATTCAAATTTGACACATTTTGTCTTCTTGGCATTAAGCAATAAATTGTTAGCATTAAACCAATAAACTACCTTAGAGAGGGTATCATTAATACGGTCATAGTTAATGTCATGTCTGTCTGTTTTAAAAATCAAGGATGTGTCATCAGCAAACAACACTATTTCGCAATGGTCCTTAACAAAGAATGGCAGATCATTAATATAAATCAGAAATAAGAAAGGTCCAAGTATTGAGCCCTGCGGAACACCCATTTTTACTGGAGAACCCAAAGAAGTCACTCCATTTATGTCTACTTTCTGAATTCTACCGTTGAGATATGACGATACAAGTTTCGACGCCTTGCCATTTACACCGTAATGCTGCAGCTTCCATAAGAGTATTATGATCAACGCAATCAAATGCCTTTGAGAGGTCACAGAAAACACCAATAGCGTTCTGGGACCTTTCCCAAGCATCAAAGATGTGTTTTAGTAACGCTACCCCCGCATCGCTAGTCGATCTACCACTAGTAAACCCGTATTGTTCACTATGAAAAATATGATTCTTACCGAAATAGGACAGTAATTGAGTTAGCATAACCTTTTCGAATATTTTACTTAAAGCTGGTAAAATTGAAATGGGACTATAGTTGCCATGGATCAACTTTCCTACCGCTTTTGAATAAGGGACTAACCTTGCTGTATTTCATTAAATCGGGAAAACCACCTTCGTCAACGCACCTATTGAAAGCTACAGCTAACTGTGGGGAAATGAGATTAATAACTGAGTCTATAACTTTAGTTGATATGCCCCAGAGATCTTCAGTTTTTTTAACATGTATTGACTTAAAAGCTTTTATGATGTCTTGTGGAATAACATGACGAAAATTAAATAAACTGCCACAAACGTTAACATTTTCCTTTAGGAGATCAATAGCAAGTGAAAGGGAGGAATTTAATGATTTTGTAGTGTTCACAGCAATTTCCGAAAAGAACGATTCAAAAGCTTGGGCTACTTTATCTTTAGATTTTATAAGTTTGCTGTCTAATTCTAAAACTATATCTATATCGTGTAGTTTAACCCTGCCTGACTCTTTATTTATTATGCTCCAAGTAGTTTTAGATTTATTTATCGATTGTCTAATTTTGTCGCTGTGAAACTTAACCTTAGCAGCTACACATACTTTTTTAAATATTTTTGAATAAATTCTGACATATTCTATGAAATTGGAGTTAGTATTATAAGTTTTCATAGCATATAGCTCATACAAACGAGACCTTCTCTTATGAATACCTACTGTTGCCCAGTCGTTGAATTTAGTCTCTCTATGGAAAGTTAATGTTTTCGATTTAAATATATTGTCAAATTCATTTTTAATTAAACCAAATATCGTGTTGTATAAAGTATTTGGATCCTCCGGTATATGGGATAGGGAATTTAAACTATTGCCGATATTATTTTGAAATCTCATTATTCGTTCTGTGGTAATCGGTCTGCAGAGAAATTGGTCTACCGTCTTGCTCATTTTACCACTAAAAGAAGCCAATTGGCCACTATGGATCTTAAGCAATTTATTATTGATTTAGACACTGCGTCTGTGTTACAAAAGATGTTATCAATACAAGTAGAAGAGGAGGCAGTAATGCGAGTTGGTTCTAAAAAAAGATTAATCAAGTTAAAATTTTGAAATAAATTAATGAGTCTTACAGAAATAGAACAGTTTTCCAACAAGTTTACATTGAAATCTCCACATATTACTACGTTTTTTTTGGTTGGAAAAATCCGCTTTAAACTGTCTTCCACAATTAATTCAAACTCGTTAAAATTAGCAGAGTGGGCCTGTATACACATAAGACGACAAACTGATCCAATTCCACACATGAAATCTCAATAGTTCGTTCAGTAGAAAGATCTGTGATACCCTTACGCTCTTTAAATTTTAAGTTACGCTTAATAATAATCATGGTTCCGCCTCTACTTAAGCTCTTTCTTATGAACGAACTGACTATTACATAATTCTCTATATTGTTAATGGCTTCGTAATCTTTCAGCCAGTATTCTGTAACACAAAACACGTCAACGGAAATATCGTGCAAAAAAAGACTTATTTCTAATGTTTTGCCAGAAAAGCCTTGAATATTTTGATGTACTACATGGAAACGATTAGACTTTTCTGTTGTCGTGTTTTTCAGTTTAAATTATGATTAGTAAAAAGTATACTGTTGCTACTTAAAGTAGGAGCATTGTCGTGGGATTGTGTTATATCTTCTATAACAGCGTCCTTAATATTAAAAGATTGCAAACTAGCTATATGTCTTAGATACCTTAGGGGTAAAAGTAAATTATCCTCAAATCCTTAGGTTTGCGTAGAGGCCCTTTTTTAAATATAAAACTGGGCTATTTCCATGAATAGATATTTATTTACGTCTTAACTGATGGAAGCTTATTCTAGAACAACCAATATGTTCTTCTTTTTTAACCGACTTCAAAACAGGAGGAGGTTCTCAATTCGACTGTATGTTCTTTTTTTTTTGTATGTATGTTACGCGATAACTCCGGTGTTGTGAACCGATTTTCATGATTCTTTTTTTTGTTGGAAAGGGGATACTTCCATAGTGGTCCCATTTCATTTTGAAGAAAATCATCCACCTCGAAGGGTGGCTGTTGACGCATGAAGATTCATTTTTATAAATAGCGCCTAACTTTAATTTAAGAGCAATTACTTTAATGGTTGATTTTGCTATTTCTCCAATTCAAGGCGTTTTTCTCTCAATAT